TTCGAGTGCCTTCTTTTCGCTTTTTTCGACTCCGATTCCACTGAAAAAGCAATATCCAATATTATTTATTCCAGTAGCATTACCCATTTTGGCAGATTTTTTATAATATTCGAATGCCTTCTTTTCGTCCTTTTTGACTCCGATTCCATTGAAATAACAATATCCAACATTATACACACTATAACTATTACCCATCTCTGCAGATATTTTAAAATATTCAAATGCCTTCTTTTCGTCTTTTTCGACTCCGATTCCATTTCTATAGCAATCTCCAACATTATTGATTCCAGTAGCATTACCCATCTCTGCAGATTTTTTAAAATATTCAAAAGCCTTCTTTTCGTCGTTTTCGACTCCGATTCCAATTACATAGTAATATCCAACAATATTTATTCCATCAGCATTACCCATCTCTGCAGATTTTTTATAATATTCAAATGCCTTCTCTTCGTCCTTTTCAACTCCGATTCCTTCTATAGCAATCTCCAACATTATTGATCCCAGTAGCATTACCTATCTCTGCAGATTTTTTATAATATTCGAATGCTTTCTTTTCGTCCTTTTCGACTCCGATTCCATCTCTATAGCAATATCCAACATTAATTATTCCATTAACATTACCCATCTCCGCAGATTTTTTATAATATTCGAATGCCTCTACATCCTTTTCGATTCCGATTCCATTATCAATCTCTGCAAATTTTTTATAATTTCCGAATGTCTCTTCATCCTTTTCGATTCCGATTCCATTTCTATAGCAATTTCCAATATTATTTACGGTATTTTTCATTGATGTAAAGTTGAATCCATTATATGCGTCTTTGACATATTTTAAAACAGCTTCATTATTAGGTTCAACTTTAAGCGCTTTACTGAAGTCTTCAAGTGCTTCTTTATATTTTTTTAAACAGTAGTAAGCTGAACCACGAAGAATTAATATAGGCACAAAACCTGGTTCAATTTTCAATGCTTCACTAGAATAAGAGAGAACCCTACCGTACTGTTCTTGTTCAAAATAGATTTTACCACTATAAAATAATGCAAATACATTTTCTGGTAAAATTTCTAGTGCTTTTTCAAAGTCTAAAAATGCATTATAATAATGTTCCAAGCTTAAATAAGCTTCTCCACGGAGAACTAACATATCTGTATTATCTGGCTCAAATTTTAATGCATCGTAAAAATCTAAAAATGCTTCATGAAAATGATTGAGGCAGTAATAAATTTGTCCACGTAAAAAAAGTGCAGTAGCATTATTATGTTCCTTTTCCAAACTCTTATTTAAATCTCTGATTGCATTATTATACTGATCCAGATAAAAATAGGCACCTGCGCGAAGTGTTAATATAGTTTTATTTTGAGGGTTAATTTCTAAACCTTTATTTAAAAATTGGATAGTTTCTTCGTACCGCTGTAAATTAAAACAAATTTTCGCTTGAAGTGTCAGTGCATTTGCATAATTTGATTTGATTTCTAAAGACATTCTAGAACTACATGAAACATCATCATATTGCTCTAATACTGTACTTTTTCAAGATCATAAAAGGCTTTATAGTAATGGCCAAGTTCAAAATAAGCTTCCCTACGATAAAGTAGTGTATTTATATCACTTGAATTAATCTCTAATGCTTTATTTAAATTCAGGAATGCCCTATAATATCGTTTTGAAGAATAATATATTTTTCCACAAGAAGATAAAGCAGTTAAATTATTCGGATCAATTTCTAATACTTTGTTATAATATAAAAGGGCCTGATTATATTGTTCTAGTGAATAATAAGATTCTCCTTGAAATAATAATGTATTTATAAATTTTTGTAGAGCACTATTAATGTTAGATTTTGATAAAATCTTCAAGTCTAAAAATGCCTTGCCATATTGTCGAAATTTTAAATAAACTTCACCACGAAGAGCTAATACGTAAGTATTACTCGAATTAATCTCTAATACTTTATTGAAATCTATGAGTGCTTCATTATATTTTTATAACATAAAGTACGTTTCTCCACGTAAAATTAATGAACTTGTACTAGTTGGGTTGATTTTTAATGCTCTATTTGCATCAGCAAATGCATTTTCATATTTTCCTAGTTTAAAATATGCCATTCCACGAAGAACTAATGCGATCATATTGTTAGAATTGATTTCTAAAATACAACTAAATTGTTCAAGTGAATCAACATAAAGACCCAAATTCAAATAAGAAACCCCAAGAGCAATTTCATCTTCATACACATTATTAATAGAATTAAATATATTATATTTGTCTATGTAGAAAGTCATTTATTAAATGATCTTGTGCTTGCGTATGGTATCAAAATACCAAATACTTTGACTTTTTATTTAGATAATTGTTGATTTATTTGATTAAATGATTTTGCGTTTTTCCATTCAACAAAATTAAAATTGTTTATAATGTGCCAAAAAATGATTATCTAAATAGGCAATCTAAAGACCCTATCGCTATTGTCATAAAATTTGCCATTTCTTTATAACAAATGGTGTTACAAAAGCTTATTAAATCCTGTGCCAGGTTATGCCGATCAGTGTAACTCGATATGCGGTGTAACTATAACGATCAGCATACCTAATGACTATCAAAATACTTTTTAAAAAAAACTTCTAGCGATGATTTCCCAAGAACTACTTGATTAAATTCAGCGAATTTTTTTTTATTTTAATTCTATAGAAATGTTGAATTAAATAAAAAAAAAGTTCATTGAATTTGGTTCAGTAGTTGTTGAGAAATCATCATGAAGTGCTTAAATTTTTGTTTTTTTTGTTTTTTTTTAATATTAAAGGCGAAGTTTAAAAAAATTTAAAATATCAAAATATTAAAATCAGGTAAATTTTATTTCTTTGAGCTTTAAACGATGATTTTCGACAACAGACTATTAAAATTTTCTGAATTTTTTTTTAGTGATTATAAAAAGTTATAACTAAATAAAAGTCAAATTTATAATAGCTCAAAAAAATAGTGTAATTATAACAAGGTTGTGACTATATGAGGATTTTTGGTCAAAATCTCGAACAACGAATTATCAAAAGAACATAACACTGACTAAATTGGCCAGCATTATGGCTAGTGCCGGCTAACTTTGTCGGTATTACGTTCTTTCGGGGATCCGTTTTTTGGGATTTTGACCCAAATTCCTATATGAGAGTGACTATAAAAAGGTAGGCTATACTCTAATACAATTACCCAAATTCTAACTAACTCAATTCTAATATAATTGTCTAAAATTTAACTAAATTCTAATATAATACCCAAACTTTAAGAGAAGTGTCATTTATCAGCTGATTTTTTGTAAATAGTAAAATTTCCCTCCTCCAAATGATTATGATTGTATATAAACATATATACATGTGATTTATTAACATAATATTTTGGCACCCACTCCCCTGCTAAAAGAATCAAATGATAAATGGCATTTCACTAACCCTATTTTAATACAATTATTCAAACTAAACTAAACCTAAAATCTTTAATTTATTTATTAACTATCAAATTAAATAAATTAATAGTTGGTAGAATTACAACTCTTTCCAATAATCACTTTTACCAAAAATTTTCAAAAAACTTTTACTAGGAAAAAATACTAACAGTTATATTAGTTTATAAGACACAAGAAGAGAGACCTTAGAACAGCAACTATCGTTTAGAGATAATTCTCATATATTATCTGCTGATTTTTTTAGAGTTTATTATTTACTATTTCTATAGCCACTATTAGCCACTTAGCCGACTAAAATCATGCAGCTTAAATCACTAATTTTAGTTATATATTTTCTAAGTAAATAATTAATTTTAAAATTGTTTTATTAACTTTGTTAAGAAAATTTTTTAAAATTATTAAAAAAACTTTAGTATAATAAAAGTTTAAAACTTTTGTATTAAAATTTTTGCTATAAAATTTTTTATTTAAATTTTACTTCTAAAACAAATTTTAATTTTTATTAATAAATTACTAAAAGTGCAATAATAAAAGTTGTTATCCTTTGTATAAACTACAATATTGTATTAGAAACTATATTTTTAAGACTAATATTTAAAGAGTTTGTCAAGAAATTATAAATTATTTTTTTAATTAAAAAATTTCTTTAAAATTGTCTATTTTTAGCTTATAAGCAATCTAAAATTTTTGTCTTATAATATAAATACAAATATTGCAAAAATATAATCTTTATTTTTAAATATTATATCTTAAATTTTATTTAAATAATTTAAATAATTAAAAAAGTAGATTAGAGGCATATTTATAGTAATTATGCAGATAAATTCATCTGCAAATCTCTACTAATTAAAAAATAAGCTTTTGTTTATTAATGAGTTATATTATTGAAAAATTATATTGTTAGTAAAATAAGCTTGTTAGTATACTTTATTTTAGTAAAATTAGCTTGTTGATAAGTTGATTTTATTAGTAAAATTAATTGTCAGTAAAATATGTATTAGTAAAATTAACTGGTTAATAAAACTAACTGTTAGTAAATCAAGTATTAACAAATTACTTGTCTATAAAAAAAAGCTTGTTAATAAAATAATTGTTAGTATAATATTATATTTGTAAAATAATTGTCAATAATTTAATATTCTTAATTTCCAACTTCTCATTTTGCACTGCAACCTTCTTTGATTGTGCTTCTACTAATTTAATTAATATTTTTGTAACCAATTGCTTTTCATTACAACTTATCTGTTTTATATATTCTGAAAATTTTTAAAAAAGTTTCTAATTTCAAATTTTATTCTAAGAATATATATACTTTTAATAAATATACAAAATTTGATTTTTTTATTTTTAAAAAATAGATTATCATTGTAGTTTTTTATTAATTAATTGTCTTTTAAATATTGTTAGTTTTTATAAATAAAACTTGCTAAAAGATCTAATCTATAAAATATAATTATTAATTATAGAAATTAGTTATTTGACAAAAACATTATAATAAGCAAATTTAACAACAAATATAAATATAATTTTTTATTATAATTATTATAATTAAAATTAATATTTTTTGTATAGGTATGTTTTTAGGTATTTTTCTTTTTGTTTTAAAAAGTTTTTGCTTTTTTATTTAGTAGCAAATTATTAATTAGTTTATTACTTTGTATTAAAAAATTTTAAATAAAAACTTATTTGAATATTTTAATAATCTTATTTTTAAACTGCTTTAGACTTTTTCTGAGCTATTTAGTTTCAAAAATAAAATTTTGTTTAAAAATATTTTAATAATAAATATTTTTATAATAAGTATAATATTATTATCAAGTTTGTAAATATTTAAAATTTTTAATAATTATTAATTAATTAATTGACAAAAAAAGCCACTATTTTTTGTATATTTTTTTTTGTTGCTTTGCTTTATTTAGTTATAAATTTGTATAATATTAAAGGTTTTTTAATTTAATTAATGATATTTTTATTAAAAATAATCTTTCTAGTTGTTATATAGATTAACAAATAGAAATAATTTCTTGAAATATAGCTTAGAATCAAAGCATCTATCTAGGATATATAGTATTAGTAAGACTGCTTTTACTTAATTTACAATTAAGCAACACTTTATTATAATAACATGGTGTTTACAATAGCAATAAGTTGGTATTTATTTTGTGTTTTATTAATCTTTTGGTAAGAAAGAGATGTTTTTACTTACTAATTTTTATTTATTTATATTATATTGTTATCTTACTAACTACAAATTAATGATATATATTTTATACATGATTATATATATATTACAAATAAGCTCTACTTATATAAAGTATATCAATCTATTTTATATATTATTATGTTTATAATGTTATTCTAAGCTATTTGTTTTTATATACTCCAAACATAGTACAAGAGTATTAGTTTTTCACTACAATACTAGTTTAATTAATTTTGTTACTAAATTTAAAAACTTGAGAATAATAATTTATTATTTTAGTTTTCTAATAGGAGTAATAAAATATAGTATAATATATTAATAATAAGTTTTGATTTTGGTATATTAAAAATTAATAACTTATTATTATTTTTTTTTTATTTATTTTTTGACAGTCTTGTCGGTGCTCAAATACAAATTATATTACTAATAGACTACAAAACAAAGTTTCAAATTCTAATAATATCTAATTAACAATTGCAAGCCTGACATCACCCGGCTACATCATGTGCGCCCAGATGCGACGTGTCGCACCAACCTGTAAACAAGTTAGATAAACTTTGT